GTGTGTGTGTGTGTGTGAGAGAGAGTGTGTGTGTGCGTGCCTCAATCCATGAGACCAGCCAAATGTCAACAGTGATGTCATCTAGAGCTTAATCAAATGTTATTTTCAATCACAATTTTGACTTCCAACAATTATGAACACGAGATAATTTAGATAAATTACACTCTGGTTTTCGTCTTTGGAACACATGAAGCAATCTGTCACACAGCCAGGTCTTCACATACTTGCACGGTCAAACACTCACAGAATTGTGTCAAAATGCCCATCTTGGTGAGTATTCATGTAAACACAGCGAGCTACGTCTTAAAGGGGTAGTTCACCCAAAAACTAAAACTCTGACGCTTCAGAAAGTTCATAATCCATATGAATCAAGTTGGTTTCGTCCAAGTCTTACGAAGAGATACGACAGTTTTATACGATAAACAGATTTTATTTATTTACATATAAACCTGTAATGAACACATCACATATACACACAAAGCTCATAGGTTCTTGTGCGCCAAGCAAGCACATTTGAGCTGCAGTTTACCATTAGTCTGTGTCTTGATCAATGCTTATAAATTAATAAAATCCTAAATTCAATCTGTTCACATCATAAAGCAGTCGTGTCAGAAGACGTGGGTTCAACCACTTACTTTATTAACTTTCTGAAGCATCACATTTCTCAGGTTTCATTAAAAATATCTTGCGTTGTATTTGTGTTTCGAAGTCTAATGAAATGGTTTAGAACGAGTAAATAATGACAGAATTTACATTTTGGGGTAAACTGAATCACTTTTAAGTGATTGTAAACAGTTTTATGTTAATCAAACAAAGCAAAAAAGGAATCACTCACTGCTCTTGACTGAGTAACTTGTTATTGAGTAACATTATTGTCAATCAGTATTGTGAAATTTCAATAGCATTTAAAATGTTGGTATCGCATCAAACTTATTTCCAGCAAAAAAAAACAAAAACAAAAGTATATGTAGGTCTATATTGTTATCAAGGGAAAAAAAGGTCATATTTGTCATATCGCTGGCGTGATGTTTCCAAAAGTCAAATAATTAATTCTCTTAAATCAACATGACGTAAATCATTGACTAAAATGATTGTGATTATAATCGAATCGAATAGCCCAGTCATCCACATCTGCTTATTTTAGCTACTTTTTTTTTTGCTTGTTCAACAAATCATGACATTTTGACAATAAGATATTAAAGTCTAAACAGCTCTTTTACATAAATATGAATCAGCTCTCAGCGTCAGATTTAAACCATTATTTCCATTCCTCTATGCTGGGTGTGGAAGCCTCCTTTAGAGACTGACTGAAGCGCAGCTCACCTTGTTGTGACTCTCAAAGTAGGACTCCTTCTCCAGGCGATCCATCAGGTACTCGAAGACCTCCTGAGGGATGGGCACCACCCCGTCAGCCCGCCGCTTGTCATTCATGATGTCCAGCCAGATGTAGTCTTCCTCGTCTATATCGTACTCCACCTCCTCATCCAGCTCCTCAGCAGACTTATCGATGTACCTGAGAGGAGGTGAAGGAGACGCAGGCGTCAGGGTGCTGCATTCAGCCCTCAAACCTCACACAAATACACCAGACGTGCCTTCCAGGTCAACAACGTTCACAATGCTACATACTTCTGTAATGTGTTATTTCTGAGAGATTCAGATTGTATCCAGTGATCAGATGGTGACCAGGCTATGGAGGATGAAGGACAAGTTCACCGTCCAAAGCATCGCAGAATCTCATTTCAGATCTGTCCTCAATAGTAGTACATTATTACTGACTGTTCTACACAATCACACATCCTTTCATTATAACTGACCAAATGTAAACAGCAGGTAAAGTGCATACAGCTTCACTGATGATAATAGAGCTCCGTCAGTGACAGGAGCTTTCTGTTTAAAACCCATCCACTATTTCAATGAAAGTTTTATTTGTCATTCTGCTAGCTACTCACTGTGGAGTTTCTGGACTGACAACCGTATTTACACGCTGGATCGCTTCTGAAAGTGTGATGACTGGCAGTGGTAACCATGGCAACGGACTGGAGATCAAATCTGAAGCTGTTAGTCAGAACAGATCAGTGCATTTAGAGCTAACTAACAGACCTGACGCTTATTCCATGTAACGCGTTTCTTCTTCTTCTTAATGTGTTTTTTTTTTAATCTTCTTTTTGTATCATTTTTTTGTATTTATTTTTTACATTGGTAAATATAATATATATAATAAATATGGTTTAAATGTTCTTTGTGTTAATTTAGTAAACAACTAAGTTGTCACCATGTCTAGATTACATGTCTAGGTAGGTAACAATATCTGTTCTATCATGATCATGTCTTTTTCATGGGGGGGGTGGTGTAAATGAGGTGGTACTCGATGCCGCTGTAGCTCTTGTAGACCTTGCGGCAGCTGTCCACCGGACACTCGTAGGGCGGCTTCGTCGCCCGCAGGTTGTGGCAGAACGTCTTCACGTCAAAGTCCAGCCCCATCCCGACAATGCTCACTGCAGCGTCACCAACAGACCCGGCTTACATCTATGAGGACGACACAAATTTACACAACTTTAAATGGACAAGTGCTTTGGTAGAGCCGGCTGACAATCGAGCAGTGATACAGAGTACCAACACAGCTGTGATCACCTGCAGCCCAAACACAGGCAATATTAATGATCTTGTAATATTTGTAGTACCATCAGCCAGTCAGTGTTGAACAATAATAGCCTGCTTCCAAGCAAGTGCCACTGAGATGAATGGGAATATCACTTTATATAGGCATCTTTAGGTTCAAACCTCTATCCTTTCAAATACCAAAACCAGTAAGCCACAGCGTCCCTTCCAAATAAGTGTTTTAACCGCAAGTTTGCAAAGAAAAGCCTTGAAGTGACTGAAGTGAAAGACTGTTGTTCCACAGACACGTGATTACCGTAGGCATGTACTATGTATTTACCTGATGCTCCACACAATTCAAAGAATACTGTAGCATTACCATGGTACATTTAAAAACACGCTATCTTCACGGTAGTTTTTGTTAGTGGCTGATTGTATGCAGACCCGCCTTTCCTTCACAAATGTGTCAAGTTTAAAAACACGATCATGTAAAATATGAGTTTATATATGATCCTGTGGTTTATATTCCACACAAACAGATCTCTAACGGGTGAACGTGTTTTGTAGTAAACACTTACTACTCGGGAGTCCACGGCGGGTTTCACGCTCACTCCGAGAATAAGAATTCACACTGAGATGAGTTTAATTCAGATTAGAAGGGTTTGAGCTCAATAACCGGATCCTTTATAGATTCTGATCAACACACCAGGAACTGAAGCGAGCGAACAAAGGGGGTTTAAATGTTCTTTGTGTTAATTTAGTAAACAACTAAGTTGTCACCATGTCTAGATTACATGTCTAGGTAGGTAACAATATCTGTTCTATCATGATCATGTCTTTTTCATGGGGGGGGTGGTGTAAATGCAAAAATATATAGATATATTATATATAAAAATATATATATATATAGATATATTATTGAATAATATCGTCAAAATTTGGAAAACTATCAAGAGCTTTCATCTATATCACCCGGCCTGCCCTCACTGTGTCAGTGGCAGAGCTCTGGCCGCTCGCAGACACTGCACTGTTTACACCGCAGGAGAAATCTCTCATCCACACGGTCTGTGTCATGTGTGTTTACTGCTCACAGCAGCAGCTGGTTCTGTCAAACTGCAGCATATACTGACTGCAATACTGGGCGAAACATAGAACTACAATAATGCAAATAATTCCAAAAAATCAGCTGTCTTTCACGTCATATTGAGAAATTATTTTAAATAACATATAAATACCAGGCAGCTACATGAATGCATGGTTATGGAGAATAAATAAAAGTACTTCCTTTGAAGCTGTGCAATTAACTATCAGTGCAAAAACAATTGCTAGAAATAAAGCAAAATAAAAAATTAATGAGTTTAATTCAGATTAGAAGGGTTTGAGCTCAATAACCGGATCCTTTATAGATTCTGATCAACACACCAGGAACTGAAGCGAGCGAACAAAGGGGCTACCGCGCGATCCGCGTCTGCACATTCACCGATCCGCCACACTGGAAAGCGCGTTTTTAAAAAATACTCACACAACAATATTTATCATTCGTCACTTGCAGTCAGCTAACGCGGATACTTGATAAAAACCCAGTCGGACCTCTCCATATGTCTTTGAAGATTTTTTTTCTGTTTCGTTTTAATGATGGATGTACTGACGAATCAGCCGTCGATTGTCACGCGAGTGCCCGCTGCGTCTGTCTGTTTAGTATGCAAGTAGAAAAACGAATTCTGCTGCTCGTAATAATTGGACTAGTGCAGTTTTAGCAGCAATGTTTGTAATGTTTATACAGAACAAAGCACCTTGGCTTCGATGTATGGGCATTACAGGGGTAATATGATCGTTTAGGGTGTGTGAATGTGTGGCGAGGCTGCAGGGATCACAAACTTAACACAATAATAAAAATATACATCCTTCTTCAAGACATTACATTTCATGTAAAAACATATAATTTATCAATTGGTTTATACCTTTAAACAAACCAAATTATGTTCCCAACATGTTTGCGCTTATCCTAAAGTGCAAACCTCTCCAAATGATTTGAAAATGTATATCTAATTTATCTAACGAATATTTATTTTTTTAATTCAATAGAATATTTTCTCTTAATGTCTATTAAACAGGTGTGCATTGCAAATTCACAAATGCAATTGTTCTACACTTGTTCACTCTCCTACAGTCGGCTGTATAGTTTAGGGAATATTAATCAACAGGTGTAAAACAGGGTAAACACGGTTTTGTTGTTACTATTGCACTGGGGCATGCATAATATGTCAAAATAATCAAGTGGGTGAAAGCTTTGCTCTGACAGGAAAATATTTATTTCTCAAATGAGAGAAAACTAATTTGAATTAGAGTTTAAAAACAATATGATCAATATGTGCCATGTGTAATACAAGACCTTTATCGCTGTGAATAAAAGATTTAGCACTGCAACTTAATCAACATACCAAGAAAAAAAGTATTTTAAACAGATGGCTTCTCTGAGAAATAGTTAATGTGTGAGTTTTTTCTTCCTCGGTTTTGCACACGACATTGACTCTAACCAGATCCAAAAATGTCATCTTGGCAAACCGAAATTATTATATTATCATTATGCTATTTTCTATTGTCTGTTTAACACAACAGGTGAGGCGGGCGCCTGTGGAAACGTTAACATTTAGTCACAAATATTGACAAAATATTGAAGCACCTTAAACCAGTTTACGACTGTATGAGTCACTAGAAGTATATAGTGGAGTAATGGGCTCATTGTTCATTTATAAATTGTTTTCATAAAATATTTATCGTGAAAAGCAATGTCGGTACATGAACTGAAATAAGATTCATATTGTTTTTTTGTTTGTTTTTTCTGCATTAAGGGCTGTGTTTGAATTCAAACTTCATTTAGAACGCGTGGAACGTGTGATGTCACAGTAGGTGCTGCATTAAAGACTGAGCTTATTAGTTGAATTATCAGAAACATCATTCTCAACTGCAAAAGATTTGTCATGTAACGCGACTTTAGTTTGACTGAATGAAAGGGGCAAGTCTTCTGAAGACGATCACTTATATGTGCAAAAGGAATCCACATTTCAACTCTTAAAAAGATACCTGAGGAGGGGGCCCCAGATTGTACCACATTTTTTTTAGAAGCATCGATCTTAGAAAAAGTCATCTTTTCGAGCTTGAGGGCAGAAACCATTTCAGACAGCTATTTATTGAAACTGGGTGGTAAAGTGGACTTCCAATCCTGGATACACCCATTCTCATCATTAAAAGTATGAAAAATAAAATTGTAAATGGTTGGATTATGTACTGACCGAAAACATAAATGATAAAACATATCAAAGCTTATATCACATTCTTGTACATTTTTTTTAGAAGCATCGATCTTAGAAAAAGTCATCTTTTCGAGCTTGAGGGCAGAAACCATTTCAGACAGCTATTTATTGAAACTGGGTGGTAAAGTGGACTTCCAATCCTGGATACACCCATTCTCATCATTAAAAGTATGAAAAATTAAATTGTAAATGGTTGGATTATGTACTGACCGAAAACATAAATGATAAAACATATCAAAGTTTATATCACATTCTTGTGCTTATATCTTATAGCCTCTCTTACATCAAATTCTTAAACCATCAGCCTGGATCCTATTTAATTCAATTTCTTGTCCTGCACTATTCGGTCCAACTGATATATTTATTTAAAGAGGTAAATTAGACAGTATTTAATTTTAGTTGGTAAAAGTATTACTGTGAAGGCAACAATTATACATTATGGCAACAAAATTAAAGTATTTAAAGAGACAGACTGAATTTGAGTGAACTATTACCCTTTGAAACAAAAGATATGGAAGATCATAAATTCATTCTGGTGTGTCCTCACTTTTGACTGGTAGTGTACACAGATGGCTAGATAGCTACAGAGTTTGAGAAATTCAGTGTTAGAAAAATATGCTTTGTTACATTTCTTGAATCATCCTTAACATTTGCAAACCAGAAAGTGCATTTCCTGAAACAGTTTGTTCAAACAGCACCAATGTCAATGAACACATCAGTGCCATCAGAATGACAAGTCCTGTGTCATTGTTCACAAAAAATATGCTTAGCCATGTTGTCAATATAACAGTGTAATGCGTATTCTGACAATATTTCCTGATGTAAATTATGGGTACAGTTTTCATGACAGTGATTGAAAATGCATAGGCCAGACAGAAAGACAGACATACAGACAGACAGACAGACTGACTGACAGACAGACATACAGACAGACAGACAGACTGACTGACAGACAGACATACAGACAGACAGACAGACTGACAGACAGACAGACAGACAGACTGACAGAAAGACAGAGACAGACAGACTGACAGACAAAGACATACAGACAGACAGACAGACAGACTGACAGAAAGACAGACAGACAGACTGACTGACAGAAAGACAGACAGACAGACAGAAAGACAGACTGACAGAAAGACAGAGAGACTGACAGAAAGACACAGACAGACAGACAGACAGATAGACATACAGACTGACAGAAAGACAGAGAGACAGACAGAAAGACAGAGACAGACAGATAGACATACAGACTGACAGAAAGACAGACAGACAGACAGACAGAAAGACAGAGACAGACAGATAGACATACAGACTGACAGAAAGACAGACAGACAGAAAGACAGAGACAGACAGACAGACTGACAGACAAAGACATACAGGCAGGCATACATACAGAAAGACAGACTGACAGACAGACAGACAAGACAGACTGACAGAAAGACAGACAGACTGACAGACAGACAGACAGACTGACTGACAGAAAGACAGACAGACAGACAGAAAGACAGACTGACAGAAAGACAGAGAGACTGACAGAAAGACACAGACAGACAGACAGACAGATAGACATACAGACTGACAGAAAGACAGAGAGACTGACAGAAAGACAGAGACAGACAGATAGACATACAGACTGACAGAAAGACAGACAGACAGACTGACAGACAAAGACATACAGGCAGACAGACATACATACAGACAGACAGACAGACAGACTGACTGACAGAAAGACAGAGACAGACAGACAGACAGACAGACAGAAAAACAGAAAGACAGACAGACAGAAAAACAGAAAGACAGACAGACAGAAAAACAGAAAGACAGACAGACAGAAAAACAGAAAGACAGACAGACAGAAAAACAGAAAGACAGACAGACAGAAAAACAGAAAGACAGACAGACAGAAAAACAGAAAGACAGACAGACAGAAAAACAGAAAGACAGACAGACAGAAAAACAGAAAGACAGACAGACAGAAAAACAGAAAGACAGACAGACAGACAGACAGACAGACAGACAGACAGAAAAACAGAAAGACAGACAGACAGAAAAACAGAAAGACAGACAGACAGACAGACACTTGATCTCTCATCTGAAGGATCAGCCCGCAATAGCATAGACATTTCAAAATAAAAGTCCCGGTGTATTTCGGGCTTGTTTATAATTAAAGGGGTCATGAAATGGCTTTTTTTTTTAATACTGTTGTCTGAGGTCCACTTATGACATTTGCGTGGTTTTTACATTAAAAAACATCAAAATCAATACATAATAGGTTATTTTCTACCCTGGTTTTGAGGCCGGTGTAGCAGTCGATTCCATTCCTGTTCCCCCTCGACGAAGCGTGTCTGCTGAGCGGGTTGACAGGTCTCCGACGCTTCCGGTTCAAGCGTTTTGCATATGACGATGTCACACCCTCAGGATTTGAGTGAGCCAATGAGGAATGGTACCTTTGGAGGGAAATTTTATGATCCTTTGTCTCTAGCATGGTGTTTTGCATATGAAACTGGATTGGCTGGTCAAGAGTAACAGCCCTCTTGGAGTGATAGTTGCACTTTTGGGGGATAGTCCATGGAACGCACAGAGTGGGTTTTAAAGATTATTTGTTAAATATAACAAATAATTGTGTGTCTGCCCTGTCCAGTCGTTACAGTAACATTGACGGGACCAGACAGTGAGTGCTTGTGAAGTGTTGGTTTACATGGAAGTCCATGATTAATGATTGCAGGTGCGTGTGATTGGAACTCTGTCTATTGAGATTGTGTGTGCGGAGTGATGGGATCTGGTGCTGTGGTGTTGGCTGATTCTGTGACAGTTTTAGCTTTACAGGAATCAATATTGTGAATGCTGAGAAAAGAGGGGGAAAGGGCTTGTTATCCTGGCACGCAGGAATATTAGCATCAGCCAAAATATATCAGTGCAGTCCAACTACAGGGGTGAAACAAATCACATTAAAATTCTTTAACAGACTTTGCCAGACAAGAGAACGATAAATAATCCTAATGATGTATTTCCTGTAATGATTGTTATATGTGTTGCATGATATAACAGTGTTCACAACCTTTGGAATGGAACCGCACTGCTGTTTTAAAAAACCTGAAGAGCACTGCTCAGAATATCACTGGCTATACCTATACAAAATGACAAGATCACAGTAGTTATTAAGCACAAAATATTTATTTATTCTTTAATTAAACTTGTTCAGTCTTTGTGTTGTGAGTGCATTTTGGATCTGAGCGGAGCAAAGTAATTCATAGAACGGTGTGCATCAAAAGCAATCGTTCACAGAGCGCCAATGCAGAAAAAAGAACCGGAAAAAGTCCATAATCCATGAAATGCCACATTAGATCAGTAAGTCACTAACATGGCAAAGTAAAGTAATTATTGCCAAAGATTTTAGCATTAAACGACAAGAACAGAACAACAAACCCCTTCCTCCTGGAAGCATTTCATCTGAAGCAGATCATTCTGACTGATTGAATATCTTGTACAAATGTACTAATCAAACTGAATGGATGACACAAAGGACAGAAGATGACAGAAGACAGAAAAAGCACTGATAAAACTAAATAAAAGAGGACTGTACAATTCACAGTTTGGCAGTTGTGTTGGTCGCAGCCTTTTACAAAGATACTGTTGAAAATATATCTAATGAAGAATATGGATGAATTCATGAAGAAAACAGTATGCTGGCTCTATCAGAAACCTGACTAAATTACACGACAAAACAAGACGAAATCTTACAAACATTAATAAAACTGTAGAGTATTGGGATGTGGGTTCTGGAAACAGATACATTTTGTACATGTGTATTTGTGTGAGCTGATATTTAATTACTTGTATTTTCTTCCATATTGGATCACTTTTATGAAACAACAACAACAAAACAATAAATATGAATCACAACTAACAATTGCACTGCCCTCCTAAAAGAAATAAGAAAATGTAACTCAACATCACTGAGCAAGAGCTCAGAATAGAGCCAATGGAGAAAAACAAACAAAAAAACAACCTCAGCCTCTAATCAAAGCAAATAAACATCAGAGATTTGATCAAATAGTAACTGAACTTTGTGTACACAAATGTAAAGCAGATTTGCTCTGTGCCAAGTCTGGCTAGCTTTCACATTATTGGGGGGGGGGTACGTAACAGGGAGGTTGAATCGCATGCATCTCATGTCAATGACACGCTTTCACTGCTGCTACATTCAGAGTTCACACAACACTGATCCCAAAGTCAAACCTGCATTCAGTCCCTGTGTCACACTCTAAAGAGGGAGGCTTGCAAGACCACAAGCACATAAAATACACCTCAATACATTTAGATAGCAATTCCTAATTGTGTATTTTGGTATGTGCAATGCTTTGATGGCATGCATTGTACATCACATCATCGCAATGTAAACAAGTTGTTCATTTCCAGTGCAGTACAACGATCAGAAACCCAAGCATCAACAGCTGGAACTGCATTCATTTATCAATCTGCACAGACTGGCTCCAATTTAAACTTAAAATTAGTATGTCAAATTTATTGATTGCACACTCGCTTCAACAAATGGGACTTTAAATATGTAAACCACCACATGACTGAAAAAAATAGGATTATGAAAAAAAAAAAACTATTGCATTAGGAACAGAAGGAAAATCCTGCTAAACCACAGAGGAATGGCTTTTCCTCAGAAGTGATTCATACCTTTCGAGAGAAAACTGATGACTGATCAAGGCACGACATCGTCCTGAATTATTCATTTTCATCTAGGGATTTTGTCCAGTGGTCTGAAATCTGAAAGTTTAAAAATGCTGGATAATTCTGTAAACAGCCAATGAAAGCCACTCAGAAGTGCTGTAAATTGATGAAAAATATTTTAAACTGAGTATTGGCCTCTTTTATAAAACACAAGCAGCATGAATTTCAATTCTTACATTGCCGTAAGAATGACTACATTTATTCTGCCCGTGTTTTATAAAATGTCTATAGCTCTAAGAGCCACCTGCCCATGCTTCCGCAGGTTAGTCACTCACAATATGTTGATTTATGGGGAAAATTATTATAAAATTATACTTCATGGCAGTCGAATTGAATGCCATGGTCCTGCAGTACTCTCAGGCAAACCCTTTACTAACACACCTCAATACAAATCTTAAAAAAAAAAAAAAATCCCCCGGAGTGCCCACAGGACTGTTTTGACACAAACACACTCCTCATGCCCAATTTCACACATACACACATATTTACAGGCTCAAAGGCTTTCTACAGATGTGCCTATAGTCCAACAGTGATCTAAAGCACACAGACATTTCAGAGATTGTGGTTTGATCCTGAAGCCAAATGAAAAGCGTTTTATAGAGTGTTGCAGGAGCTCCCACTGCGAAGGAGAAAATGTCCTGTACGTGTCTGTAATCTGACTTTAGCTGAAAATGACTCTGTTATTGTCTTCTTGCATTATTGACAAACTATTTTCCTGTTTTACACTGTAAAGCTGCTTTGACACAACCAGTATTGTATAAAGCGCTATACAAATAAAGGTGACTTGACTTGTAATCAGTTGTGTTGAGTTTGCATGATTATCCTTCTGCAAGTGTGCATTGATTAGCTTTACGCAAAAACCAGTGTATGTTGCTGTGTTTGGAGCGCAGAGTGGCACTCTTAAGCAGTCCTGGCTTTGCTGGGGCACATCGAGGCGTCTGGGCTTTTCACCACCAGAGGAAAAGTCTGCAGTGCTGGGCTGCCCATGGCTGGGTACGAGACCATACCGGCCGTAGCAAACACTGGACTGGGCAAACCGGACCACTGGTTTGGATACACAGGGGCTGGCATCATCCCAGCAAAGGGGACGGTGGGCATCAAGTATCCGCCCTGCTGGAGGATGGGTGATGGGGTGCTGGTGATGCCATGAGGCATGATGGGACCCAGAGCTGCTGACAGAGGACAGGACAGTGGTAGATGGAACTTCACAGCTGACTGAGGGATTGATCCCCTTATCTAGGAAAAAAAGAGACAGACATGGTAGGAAAAGACGTGAAGGCAAAGGCTTCTAGCAGCACAAGCACAATGTCGTGTTACCAAATGTGTCTGAACACAATTAATAACACTAAGCATGCATTCTACTCTCAGCACTCCACAAGGGCAGGAACATGATGCTAACGGTGGGGCGAACCCCTCTCGCTTTAGTCTGGCGTATTTAAAAGGCCATTGATTATGCACACCTGGGCTTTACCCTTAAGATCTCACTCATCTCGTATCAGTCGGACACAACAATCCCAAAGACATAAAAAACAGTGTACAGCTGGTTATTAGTGTTGTCAAAAATGTAGCAGTAGTTTGGTACCAAGTTGATACTTCAGTTATAAAAATGTAACTATACCAGCCTTTCCGCAGATCAGATCCGGTACCCAGTGATAGCTGGCAGCTTTCAAACATTCCTGTATGTGTGAAGGCTACAATGCTAATGTTTTAATGTATTTTAATGTATTTACTTATTCGTAGCATTAATAATTACAACTAATTTTATTTATTAAATATTTTATAAATATTTTATTATCAAAGATTAAAATTCAAAATAACCATTAAAATAAAAGTTTCTGCTATGGTACCGAAATGGGTACCAAGAACTGTGGAATTTTACTTGTATTGGTACCAATTACTGAAATGCTGGTACTGTGACAACACTGCTGGTTATGATGACCGATTTAAAGCTGCACCACAAAACTTTGGCCTCTATCACAATCTGTGGTTAAAACATGAAATTGCATGTCAAATGAAAAGCAGTTCCTTTTTGAATGGGAACTCTCACTACGCCCCTTTAGAGGATCACATGGGGAATGCCTCTGGAATGACCGGTGTATGAAGCATGTGTCAAAACACAACAATGAACTTGACACTGCCCGGTGACAGCCTATGACGTCACTACCAGTGCCCTACACTAAGAATAGCTATCAAAGAGGCTCACAGAAAGCCTAACAGCTTGATACTGCTGTTCAGGTGGAGCTCCGGGGAGAGCAGAATTTAGCAGTAGGATATTACTAGTCATCCGGTTTTTATTTCAGCTATGCATTCTGTTAGTTTTGCGAAATGGAAATATAGAGCTGAGTGTCATCAGCATAGCAGTAAAAGCTAACACATGTATGTTAGCATGGTGAAAGCTAACACGGTGTTAGCTTTCACTGCTATGCTGATGATACTCAGCTCTGTATTTCTTCGCGGCCCAAAGGAACATACCAATTCGCAAAACTAACAAAATCCATAGCTGATAAAAAAAACTGGATGACTAGTAATTTCGTACTGCTAAATTCTGAAAAAAATAGAGGTGTTAATTATTGGACCAAAAACCTCTGCATGTAATAACCTAAGACACTGTCTAAGACTCGATGACTGCTCTGTCAATTCTTCGTCATCAGTTAGGAACCTAGGTATGTTATATTGATAGCAATCTTTCCTTTGAAACCCACGTTTCTAGCATTTATAAAACTGCATTTTTCCATCTTAAAAATATATCTAAATTACGACCTAT